TACTAAAAATATTTAATATTTATAAGGTTGTTACCGTTCTCAGAAGTAGAGCCATTTTCAATATATTTCATTATTCCTTTATTCGAGTTGAAAGAGACAAACAAATGGAACATCCTCCGATGCAGATTCAAAAATAATATTTTTTTTATGGTCATCCTTGCATCCTTCTCCTACATGCTAAGAGCTAAGGGGAGGAGCTAAGACGTGAGGAAAGGAAATAAGGATGCACAAATAAGAAATGAGAAGCACCCAAGAACTTGAAAGACATGACAAACCCATGGAACAGAATTTCAAAATGAGACAGCACTGAAAAGACAAAAGACTTGCGCCTGTTTCACACATACTCCGTCTGCAGTGCGTATGCGGTCCATGTGCGTTACGAATGCGGTGCAGAAGCAGCACGGACTCATTGTGCTTTCACACAGGACGCGCTTGCAGTCCGCTACTGATCCTGTAGACTATTTACCACAAACACAACATTTATCCATTATTTTGATTTCAAATCCAAACGTTGTTTCTCAACATGCTTTTTCAGCATTGTGATCCTCTTTTATCACAGTACATTAATACAATCTTTCATAGACATTCGTTTAAACTCAATAAATATACAAACCTAGAATTCAAATGCATGAATAATACGTTGTTTATATTAAGATGCTCAAGCAAGTGGCAACACATTTAAACACAGTATAGCCTACATTTCTAACGTTAAAAGTAGGCTATCTCAAACATTTTAAATTAAAACTCACCACTGACAGAAACAGTCGACTCTCGTGCCTTTTCTTTTGCATTTAAATCTTTATTACAAGCAATCCCGCGGGTCTTAAAGAACTGTGTTTTTCTACCTCCACAAGTGCATCTATTATGTTGCCTTGTTTATCTTAAAGTGCACTTTTCCTTGTTTTAAATCTAGCCAAAAAGCCACGTGTTGACTGTGAAACATATTTTCTGTTCCTTTTGTTTCTATGTTCACTTCTTGTGTTTAGTTCTTGTTACTTTGCCTGGCTTGTTATGGTGCTTTTCCACTGCATGGTACGGCACGGCTCGCTTTTGGGGGGTTTTCCACTGTGTATGTCAGTCCTGTGTCTTGTGTTTTTCTCCCCATGTGCCTTCCATGACCTAGTTTCTCCCGTGTTTCCTGCCCATATTTGGTTTTCCTGTTCCTGTTCCCATTAAATTCCATTTGTTTCAGCTGTGTCCCAGTAATCTCCTCCTTTAGTTCTGAATATATTAGCCCTCTGTTTTCTGAGTCCTGCGTCCTGTCTTAAATGTCATCCCTGTGTGATATGTGTGTGTTCCCTTGGTTTGAAGATAATAAAGTGTATTGTGCTTCTGGATTTCCTTCGTCTCCTCGTCCCACACATGACAGAAACCAAAACGTGGAGAAGGGGCACTGCTTACTATTTGTAGGTCCTGTTTTCTGAAAGTAGTTTGTTCCCCCCCCAATGGAGATCGCTCGAGATTCGCTGCCCTAGCCCACGAGGATCTCCCGTTGATGGAGTTCGCCGGTAAGACGGCGCCACTCTTAACTCTCTGTTCTGGATCGGGGCAAATTACTACCGCTCCGTTGACCTCCCAGACACCACTGGACTA